TGAGCCACTTTTTATTCACAAGAAAGTCCACTGAAAGCTAAGCAAGATGAATACTATTCTGAATAAATATTTGTGAGCATTAAACACTGGGAAGACCATTTTTTGCAGAGAACCACCACACAGTTACAAATGTTTGTAGATAATTTTACACACAGAAAAGGGGATTTTTTTAAGGTTTCTACAGCTTAGTTCATCAAAGCAGGGAACTGAAATAATATCCTGTGACTCAGATGATTGATCATATAGCAAAAAAAGTGAATAACTTTTTATTCTGACTGCTCATAGGCTAATACTTTCATATTTGGCTGTCCAAATTTAGACTCCTCAATCCATGTTTTGGCTTCTAAATAAAAAGTATTCTGATATTCAGAGGTGCTGAACACCCAGAGCTCCCACTGAAGTTAAATTGTAGCCTATGGCTTGTTTACAAGCTGGTCACTATGGCCACATTTTTCAAACCTGAGTGCCTAAAGTCAAGCATCTAAGTTTAGACAATTAAATAAAAGTGGCCTGATGAGCACCTGCAGCCAGTCCAGTCCTATCGATTTCAGTGGGAGTTACAGGTGTTCAGCACAAAATTTTGCATGCAAGTTTTGCTTGAGGAACATCTAACTAGACAATTTGCATGTACAAGTGAACATCTGGTGTATCTGCAATTTTGGAGGCTGGTTTAAAAAATTGGCCCCCCCAAACAGGTGAATTTTAAAGTTAAATGAAAAGTGTGCTAAACCCAGAAATGTGTGCTCAGAGCTGCCATTAACAGACTGTAGGGGGCATTCATCAGACATGTTAAATTAATTTGGTAAAACTGCTATTCCCTCTGCTATGAAATCCACTTTCTAGTTCACTAAAGAATGCACCATGGATTGCATAGGAACATCTTATAACCAAGCAGTGTACACTGATATAGGGGTACATTTTCCTCTTGATGTAAATATGTAACTTAATCCCTAACCCTGCAAAGATTTTGCGTGCGCTTAACTTTACACATGTGGGTAGTCCCACTGACTTTCCAAGGTTGCGGCCTTAGATTTGTACATTTCTGCAAGATCAGGGACTATGTGGGGGACAGGTACTGAAAGTTCTTCTATGTTTTGTAGAGTTCCTAGCACATTCTCAATGCTTAACAAATAACAAAAGTCCATACCAAGAAATAATGTTAATGCAGCTTTAAGGTTTAGAGATAAAACACATAAGTAAATCATGCCTGGGGACCACTATTTATGAATTAGCAAAAACAACAAGGAGTCCTTGTGGCACCTTAGAGACTAACAAATTTATTTGGGCATAAGCTTTTGTGGGATAAAACCCACTTCATCAGATGCATGTAGTGAAAATACAGTAAGCAGTATATATATGAAAAGATGGGAGTTGCCTTACCAAGTGGGAGGGTCAATGCTAACGAGGCCAATTCAATTAAGGTGGAAGTGGCATATTCTCAACAGTTGACAAAAAGGTGTGAGTATCAGCAGAGGGAAAATTACTACAAAAAACTCCCATCTTTTCATATACTGCTTACTGTATTTTTCACTACATGCATCTGATGGAGTGGGTTTTAGCTTATGCCCACAAAAGCTTATGCCCAAATACATTTGTTAGTCTCTAAGGTACCACAAGGACTCCTCGTTGTTTTTGCTGATACAGACTAACACAGCTACCACTCTGAAACCTGTTTATGAATTGTTGCTGTAAGTACAATAGATAATTTCTTCATTGTACATACTGTTTAATTATAGGTCTCTGGCTGAAGCGTATGATAGTTCATCCATATTACAAACACAGGAGCATGGGGACAGCTGCAGTGGTTATTCTTCCACAAACAACTCACAGGCACTGAAAAGAGTGCTACAAAGGTGAGTTACATCCCAGGAATCCATGTTTAGCACAGTGTACCTACATATTTATGTGTTTACCTATCCATGTATCCATTTATTTACACAAGTTTAGTGGAGATATTTTGGTAATCTTTCTCATGTTTAAAATATCTATTTTAAGGGGACATTCTTGAGTTTACAATTAAAACTTGACATATATACATAATCTAAGCAACTGAGAAACTCTCAGCAATAATCACTAGTTATATGAAGTCTATGGCATGGTGCCAAATTTGTTTCTGGTAATTAATTATACCAATAATTATTGCATTAGCACCTAGAATCCCCAACCCAGATCAGGGCCCCATCGCATGAGGCACTATACATACACATCATTAGTAAGAAACAATCCCTGCCCCAAAGAGTCTCTTCACCTTTGTTTTTTCCCATCAATTGGGGTTGGCAGCTCTTGTTCTTTGTTTCCAAACATTTCTGTCAAGTGTGCTTCCAAGCTGACACCAACCTTCTTCATATCCTCCTTCAGCATCTCAAACCACCTTTTTCAGGGTCTTCCTCATGGTCTCTGTCCCATCACTAATAGCTCTTCTACTCTCTGGTCAACATATCCCACATCTCTACCCCCAAAAGAGTATACAATCTAAAGACAAGACAGACAAAGTTTGGTAGAAAGTTGGGGACCAGAGAGATTAAGTGACTCACTCAAACTCACAAAGTCAGTCCGTGATCGCACTGGAAATTGAACTCCTATTTATTTAGTCCCAAGATTTGGGGCAGGGACTGTCTTTTTTATTTGTACAGTGCTTAGCACACTGTGGTCCTGCACTATGATTGGGGCACCTAGTGCTACTGCAATACAAACAGTAAAATATAATAAAATAAAATAATAATAAATAATAATAATAATAATAATAATGCAGTACCTTAAGCACAAGACCATCCTTCCTCTCTCTAATAAGGAGAGTTGCTCCAGGGAGGATTTTGGCTTGTGATTTTTAAATATTTTGTTTACAGCAGAATCAGCCAGTCAACAAAGGGAGCACTAGTTAACCAAAGGAAATTAAAAAAACAAGCAATCTGGATTGCTGTGTTGAGCTGACATCACTGTTATTATCAGTGATGCTGATATACAAATAAGGAAAAACACAATTTTTTCCCACTGAAAACACACAAGAAAAATGTGTTCCAACTGTAAAAGGAAAAAATTCACAGGACAAGAAATCTTATTTTCAGGCTTTTAAGTGAGAATTACAAACAATGCAATTTAAGAAAACAGTGTGGACTGATTTAAATCAAAGTGAATTAAATCACAGATTTTAATCAGCAAGAAGAAAACCTGGATTTAAATCAATTTTCATCTTGTTTTGAATTTGAACTTTATTTTCTTAAAGAAAGGTTGGTAACTATTAAAACATGTTGATTTGCAACTAAATATAGCTTTTACACTAAATTTGATACTTCTTTTTGCTAACCAGGATACTTTATATCTAAACAAATTTATGTAAGCAATTATATAGCATAACATACCATCAGATCCTTAATTTTTGCATTTTTTACTACGTTAGAAATAATGAATGACATTTCTTATTTACTAGATGATTCACTCTTTTTTACTTGTGATTTGTATCACGCTGTATTTGGATAGAAATTATAATTCAATTACAAATGTACAAAACCACCATTTTGAAATGGTTTGATAGCTAACTCCAACTACCTTAAATATGTTGGATACATAATAAAAAGTTTATCAAAACATATTTTGCATTTAAAACTAACTGATTTATTAAACAAAGGAAGTATTAGCTGCTGTTTGTGAACTGAATTAATTGTTTCTGGTCATCAAATCCTCCACAATTTTAGAACTAGTATAGCTCATCCTCTCACACCTCATAGCTTGGAAGAGAAAAAGAAGCTTTCCTGCTTTTTCAACTCCTAATCTATTTCTCAACTTTGATTCAACTAGTCATTAAACTGAACTAGTGGAATAAACTGAAATGAAGAAAATATTCTCCTTGCACTTGCAGAAGAGGCTATTGCAGTCAAAAGCTGGTTTAGCACTTCAACAAACTGGTTTCAGGTGCTTAACCAGTGACTTTCATCAGTTCAGTGGTTTGACTTTCTTCAAAATTTTGGCAGCAAACATGTACTGCTTGATTTTTTCAAATATAATTTTAACAACTTTAACAGATTTTAGTAAATTGAGGCCATAATAGAGGATGAGATAATTTCAAATTTAAATTTTAAGTAGGTTGTGTTTGAAAAATAAAAATGTATTAATTTACATTTTTTAGAAATCAGGTTTTTTAAAAAATTGACTTGTATTCAGCCTGTAAGAAAAGTATTTAAAAACTGAAATAATGAAACTATACTCAGATCTCTCTATTTAGTTTTCTCTAAGCCTATCCTGTCACTGATATCTAAACTAGATAGTATCAATTTAAAATATTTGTTCATATAAGGAGAAAATTAAACTTCAGTTGATATACTATTGACAGATTTATTTTCAACTTTTCTGTTTTAGTTGCCATATAACAGTGGCTCTCAAACTTTTTTTTACTGGTGACCCCTTTCACACAGCAAGCCTCTGAATGCGACTCCCCCTTATAAATTAAAAATACTTTTAAATATATTTAACACCATTATAAATGCTGGAGACAAAGCGGGGTTTGGGGTGGAGGTAGACCCCCCCATGTAATAACCTCGCAACCCCCTGAGGGGTCTCAACCCCCAGTTTGAGAACCCCTGCCATATAACATTTAACACAACATGGTAAAATGACTGGAGAGAAACATTGCTCTGATAGTCTTCAAGCTAATAATATTGAGTGCAAGGGTGCTATGTATTCAACACTGGATCTATATTATGTGCCAGGCTCCTTGGTATCTTTGGTGCATGGAAGAATAAAATTCTACTATTATGGCATGGAAAAATTTGACTACTATGGCATGTAAAAATGTTCACTGAATTAAAAATTAAAATAACAGTCAACACCATTATACTGTACTTAGTTCAATAACAATTAGAATGTTTATCCATGTATTTCATACAGTCACAAAATTTACACCTTGCCTCAGAATTCAGGGCTAACACATTGGAGATACAGTAGAAACTCAGAGTTATGAACACCAGAGTTACGAACTGACCAGTCAACCACACCTCATTTGGAACCAGAAGTACACAAGCAAGCAGCAGCAGAGACACCTCCCTCCCCGCCCCCCCCAGGCAAATACAGTACAGTACTGTCTTAAACATAACCTACTAAAAAAAAAGGAAAAACAGCATTTTTTCTTCTGCATAGTAAAGTTTCAAAGCTGTATTAAGTTAATGTTCAGTTGTAAACTTTTGAAAGAACAACCGTAACATTTTGTTCAGAGTTACAAACAACCTCCATTCCTGAGGTGTTCGTAACTTTGAGGTTCTGTAATGGGGGCTTGTTTTAGGATGTAAGTCCAGTGTGCCACCCGCAGAATACACTGTTCCACACTCTGCTCCCCTGGGTGCTGGTAAGGCAAAAAATCCATTCTGCTGATGGAACGAGGTGTTGTGGCTCTCTTTCCCCTCTTACTGGTGAATGAGGTAGGTGGGGGAGGACTCCGCTTACTGGGAGTGTGTCATCCATCAGCCTGGCTTCTGGGAGGAAGTTATGAAATTCTCTTTTACTTAAAAGCTAAGTGAAGGAGTTTGTGTGGGCTCTTCAGTTCCCACTCCTGCAGCTGGTGACTTTCTCTTCTGTGTATGTGTGTGGGCAATCTTATTAGCTGATCTCTTGCTGTCACTCTGAATTCAGTGATTTTTCCCTGTCCTATAGGCGCAAGGAAGAATGGGGGTATTGTGACTCCCCACTTCCACAATCTGGCAGTTCTTCCTCTTCTGGATCTGTCTGATTTGTACAACACCGACCATCCTCACTCTGCCTGGTGAATGAAATCTACAGTGAAAGTGACATATGTGCAAATGCACTGTGACATTTAGGTTTCCTACAAAGGTTTTTTTTTCCCCCACAAAGAAATTAAGCTTCTTTTTTAAAATATTTAACTAATATTTCTATCTATTTTTAGAATACCCTACTTTTTGGTTACCTTAAAAGACTGGGAGAAGAGGATTTCCGATGAAGGCTGCCAAACCTCAGACTCTTTCTTGGAAAAAATTCAAGGTCCACAGCTAAGATGGAGCAATAATTGTAATAATCAGAATCTCTGTGATGAAATATCAGAAGAAATCATGTGAGTTTTGTGCTTCTTGTGTGGGGTACATGTCAAATCTTTGACTGTGTCCATATGGTCCTGTTTATGTGGATTTTTATCTGCTTGGTTTTTGTATCTCACTTTATGCCACAAAACAATTTTATTTTATCTAATTTCAATAAAATCTGTTTCGATTAGGTGCAACATTAATGTTCATGGCCTAGTTTTAAAACACAGGCACCTCGACAACACAACCAGATTCCCTACTTGAGCATTCAGCTCGCTCAGTCATAAAAAAATGGTTCAGTTTGAATGTCTAAACATGAAATACCCTATGAGGCTATGAAGACACCTGCAGTTTAAAAACAAAATTCATGTGGTCAGGCATTTAACAGGGTAAACATCAATGGTAAAATCCTGATTCCACTGAAGTCAATGGCAAAATTCCTCATGGCTTCAATGGCACCAAGATTTCACCCCTTTTCTTTTCAGAAGTATTGAAACGCCAAGAAAGGAAAACAGAGACATAATCAACATTTCACTGGTTTTCTTCATCTCTATATTTACTGGTGAATATTTTCATTCTAAACTTATCAAACCAGTTAGGCAACCTTAACTAACTTATGCAGTTGTAAATCTTACTTTAAAGGACTATTTTACATTACGAGCCTATTTAGTGTCATGTAGCATATAGACGGTAACTATTTTATTTTGCTGTTTCTTAGGGAACAGCACCTACCTAGTGCCATTGCACAGTACAATGTTAACAACAACAGTAATAAAGATGAGTAAGTACTCTACAGTTTCATTATAAAGTTATTTGTATTGTAGAGAATAGTAAAAAAAAGCAATATACCTCATTCTTTCCTTGCAAATTATTGCATCATACAAGTAATCCAATAAGGAATTTCATGTACATCTGAACTATATGCACAGCAAATGTTTTTCTAACACAAGTTAATAGTGTCCTATTTAATTATGTAAAAATGGAAATAGTTGAAAACTATAAACAAAGGTTTTATTCAAAGGCCAAAATCTTAAGTATAATATTAGACTTATAGAACACAACTGATTTTAACAGGGAAAATAGTGGAAATAATAGTTATACATATCCCAAGAGCCTATCACAGAGATATTGTTTCTTTTTTAGAGAAAAAAAGAAAAAAGAAAAGAAGAGGTAAGACAATAATATTGCATAGTTTCTTTACAATCTTCTACAAGTTATCATTCTAGTTTTTCTGTAAAACCATAACATTTTAATCCATTTTTTTCAGCAAGTCTGATGGTAAAAAGGAAAAGGAAAAGAAAAAGGACACAGAAATGCAAAAGAACAAGGAAAAACACAGAAATAAAGATAAGCATAAGAAGAGAGACAAGAAAGAGAAGTAAGTGTTCTTAATTTGGTTTCAGAATAGTGCTATGTTCTTCTAGTAAGATTGCTTTGCCTGTACAACTGAATCCAGTCATGGGTATATTGCAAGCATGTTGTGTATGTTAGCCCTAGATAAGTGAATATGCTGACCACTGTTTGGTCTTGTATGTTCATGAAGTTGTTCCTGATTAATTCAATGTGTGAACACTCTTAGGCCTGGTCTACACTACGAGTTTAGGTCGACTTTAGCCGCGTTAAATCGAATTAAGCCTGGACACGTTCACACGACGAAGCCCTTTCTTTCGACTTAAAGGGCCCTTTAAACCGGTTTCTTAACACCACCTCCGACGAGGGGATTAGCAATAAAATCGGCCTTAGGGGGTCGGAATTGGGTGCGTGTGGACGGAATTCGATGTTATTGGCCTCCGGGAGCTATCCCACAGTGCTTCATTGTGACCGCTCTGGACAGCACTCTCAACTCAGATGCACTGGCCAGGTAGACAGGAAAAGCCCCGCGAACGTTTGAATTTCATTTCCTGTTTGCTCAGCGTGGAGAGCACAGGTCGCTCATCAGCACAGGTAGCCGTGATGGAGTCCCAGGATCGCAAAAGAGCTCCAGCATGGACAGAACGGGAGGTTCGGGATCTGCTCACCATATGGGGAGATGAATCAGTGCTGGCCGAACTCCGAAGCAGTAAACGAAATGGCAAAATATTAGAAAAGGTCTCCAGGGCCATGAAGGACAGAGGCCATAACAGGGACGCACAGCAGTGCCGCGTGAAAATTAAGGAGCTAAGGCAAGCCTACCACAAAGCCAGAGAGGCAAACGGAAGGTCCGGGGCTGAGCCGCAAACATGCCGCTACTACGCAGAGCTGCATGCCATTCTAGGGGGTGCAGCCACCACTACCCCAACCGTGTGCTATGAGTCCCTCACTGGAGAAAGACACAGGGAAGCGGGTTCTGGGGATGAGGAAGATGAGCATGAAGATAATGTAAATAGCTCACAGCAGCAAGGAAGCGGAGAAACCAGTTTCCCCAACAGCCAGGATATGTTTATCACCCTGGACCTGGAACCAGTAACCCCCGAACTCACCCAAGGCGTGCTCCCAGACCCTGAGGGCACACAGGGGACCTCTGGTGAGTGTACCTTTGTAAATATTACACATGGTTTAAAAGCAAGCGTGTTTAATGATTAATGATTAATCTGCCCTGGCAATCGCGGCCAGTACAGCTACTGGAAAAGTCTGTTAACGTGTATGGGGATGGAGCGGAAATCCTCCAGGGACATCTCCAGAAAGCTCTCCTTCATGTACTCCCAAAGCCTTTGCAAAAGGTTTCTGGGGAGGGCTGCCTTATCCCGTCCGCCATGGTAGGACACTTTACCACGCCAGGCCAGTAGCACGTAGTCTGGAATCATTGCATAACAAAGCATGGCAGCGTATGGTCCCGGTGTTTGCTGGCATGCAGACAACATCCATTCCTTATCGCTCTTTGTTATCCTCAGGAGAGTGATATCATTCACGGTCACCTGGTTGAAATGGGGCAATTTTATTAAGGGGACATTCAGAGGTGCCCCTTCCTGGTCTGCTGAACAGAAATATTCCCCGCTGTTAGCCACGCGGTGGGGGGAGGGGTGAAGTGATCATCCGAGAATTGGGTGGGGGGGAGGGGAATTAGTTGGGTTTGTGCTGCATGTTAACCCTGAAACCGCAGCCCCTCCTTTTACATCGCAAACCCATTTTAAATGGCCAACCCAACGGGTCCTTGGTATGGTTAATGATAGCAGTACTCTTTGAAACCATCCTCACATGTTAAGAAGGTTAAAAAAGCCAAAAGACTGTGTCTTACCATGGCTGCCTGCAAGCTGAAATCTGTGACCTGGCACTGCGTGAGTGATCTCTCACACCAAACAGGCAGGCCCTCCATATAAGAGGAAAAAATGCGACCTTGTAACGAAAGCACATCTGCTGTGTAATGTGAACAGCAAAATGTAACATAAAAGAGTGTACCCATTGTTCTCTAAAATGTATCTTTTTTAACCACCTCTCCCTTCTCATCCACCAGCTGCACATGTCTCTCCTTCGCAGAGGCTAGTGAATATTCGAAAACGTAAGCGAAGGACACGTGACGAAATGTTTACAGAACTACAGACTGCCTCCCACGCTGACAGAGCACAGCAGAATGCGTGGAGGCAGTCAATGACTGATTATCGAAAAGCCCAATATGAGCGAGAGGAGAGGTGGCGGGCTGAATCGCGGGCAGAGGAGGAGAGGTGGCGGGCTGAATCGCGGGAGGAACAGAGGAAGTTGCGGGCTGAAGATGAGAGGTGGCGTCAGCTTGCACACAGAAAGCAAGAGTCCATGCTCCGTCTGCTGGAGCATCAAACTGATATGCTACAGCGTATGGTTGAGCTGCAGGAAAGGCAGCAGGAGCACAGACCGCCGCTACAGCCCCTGTGTAACCAACAGCCCTCCTCCCCAATGCTACAGCGTATGGTTGAGCTGCAGGAAAGCCAGCAGGAGCAGAGACCGCCGCTACAGCCCCTGTGTAACCAACAGCCATCCTCCCCAAGTCCCATTGCCTCCTCACCCAGACGCCCAAGAACACGGTGGGGGGGCCTTCGGCCACCCACTCACTCCACCCTAGATGATTTCCATAGCAATAAGTTTTAAAGTTTTCAATTGGAGTGTGTCCTTTTCTTTTCCTCCTCCCCCACCCATCCCGGGCTACCTTTCCAATTATGCCCCTAGTTGTGTGATGAAGTAATAAAGAATGCATGAATGTGAAGTAACAATGACTTTATTGCCTCTGCAAGTGGTGCTTGAAGGGGGGAGGGTAGGGGAGGGTGGGGTGGTTGGTTTACAGGGAAGTAGAGTTAACCGGGTGGGGGGGGGGAGGGGCGGAGATTTCATCAAGGAGAAACAAACAGAAGTTTCAAACCGTAGCCTGGCCAGTCACAAAACTGGTTTTCAAAGCTTCTCTGATGCGCACCGCGCCATGCTGTGCTCCTCTAACCGCCCTGGTGTCTGGCTGCGCGTAATCAGCGGCCAGGCGATTTGCCTCTACCTCCCACCCAGCCATAAATGTCTCCCCCTTACTCTCACAGAGATTGTGGAGCGCACAGCAAGCAGCAATAACAATGGGGATATTCTTTTCGCTGAGGTCTGAGCGAGTCAGTAAGCTGCGCCAGCGCGCTTTTAAACGCCCAAATGCACATTCCACCACCATTCGGCACTTGCTCAGCCTGTAGTTGAACAGGTCCTGACTCCTGTCCAGGCTGCCTGTGTACGGCTTCATGAGCCATGGCATTAAGGGGTAGGCTGGGTCCCCAAGGATCACGATAGGCATTTCAACATCCCCAATGGTTATTTTCTGGTCCGGGAAGAAAGTCCCTTCCTCCAGCTTTCTAAACAGAGCAGAGTGCCTGAAGACGCGAGCATCATGTACCCTTCCCGGCCAGCCCACGTTGATGTCGGTGAAACGTCCCTTGTGATCCACCAGGGCTTGCAGCAGCATTGAAAAGTACCCCTTCCGGTTTATGTACTCGGTGGCTTGGTGCTCCGGTGCCAAGATAGGGATATGGGTTCCGTCTATCGCCCCACCACAGTTTGGGAATCCCATTGCAGCAAAGCCATCCACTATGGCCTGCACATTTCTCAGAGTCACTACCCTTGATATCACCAGGTCTCTCATTGCCCTGGCAACTTGAATCACAGCAGCCCCCACAGTAGATTTGCCCACTCCAAATTGATTCCCGACTGACCGGTAGCTGTCTGGCATTGCAAGCTTCCACAGGGCTATCGCCACTCGCTTCTCAACTGTGAGGGCTGCTCTCATCCTGGTATTCTGGCGCTTCAGGGCAGGGGAAAGCAAGTCACAAAGTTCCATGAAAGTGCCCTTACGCATGCGAAAGTTTCGCAGCCACTGGGAATCGTCCCACACCTGCAGCACGATGCGGTCCCACCAGTCTGTGCTTGTTTCCCGGGCCCAGAATCGGCATTCCACGGCATGAACCTGCCCCAGTAACACCATGATTTCCACATTGCTGGGGCCTGTGCCTTGTGAAAGGTCTATGTCCATGTCAATTTCCTCATCACTCTCGTCGCCGCGCTGCAATCGCCTCCTCGGCTGGTCCTGGTTTTGCTTTGGCATGTCCTGGCTCTGCATATACTCCAGGACAATGCGCGTGGTGTTCATAGTGCTCATAATTGCCGCGGTGATCTGAGCGGGCTCCATGATCCCAGTGCTAGCTATGGCGTCTGGTCTGAAAAAAGGCGCGAAAGTAGTATCTGACGGACCAGGGGAGGGAGGGAGGGAGGGAAGGGCGAGTGACGACATGGCGTACAGGTACAGGGAATTAAAATCAAGAAAGGTGGCTTTGCATCAGGGAGAAACACAAACAACTGTCACACAGAATGCCCCCCCCCCAAAGATTGAACTCAAAAGCCTGGGTTTAACAGGAGGGAGGGAGGGGGGAAGCAAATGAATACAGAATAAATCTATTTTTTACATCTTAAGACGACGGTGCAGCATGACTGATAGCCCTTGGCATTTTCTGGGTGCTTGGCAGCAAATACTGGGCGCTTGGCAGTAAGCCTTCAGGTCTACTGCACAATATGATACCCACTGCAGTATGACAACGATGGATACCAGTCGTAATATACTATCTACTGCCCAAAAGGCAAGGGGTTGCTGCTGTGTAGCAATCTAGCCCCACGTCTGCCAGCCCCATGTCTGCCAGCACCCAGATCGCCATCGGCCTCTTCTGGGTGCTTAGCAGACAATACTGGGCACTTGGCAGAAAATAGCATACTACGACTCTGCTAACGTGCAATGAGCCAACAGGGCGCGTGGCAGAAAATGGCATACTACGACTGATAACCATCATTGTCTGCCCGGGTGCCCATGATTG